TGCAACTCTTATCTGAGCTTTCTGTGACACAACTGGTTTTTCGAGTAGTATTTACACCATCGTTCAATGTCTCTTATGTGAATGCATGCAGTAACACCTTTACACACACTGGCAGTAGTTTGTGACACTCCTATTTTTTGCTCTTCAGACCTTGCATTGTGCAAAGCCAAAATAATTTCCTGTCTTAGAACTTTGGCGACCATTAGTTGCATCATAAATTTGCTACTCCATATCAGTGATTCATTATAATGATATAATACGTCATCTTGTACTTGTAACTGACAAAAAAGGTGCCAGATTTTTTTGCACATTAGTACTATGTTTACCAGTTTTCGATTACCATTAGCTACATTGCAGCATAGCAAGTAGTACCCAAGTTATATTTGGGTTCTTCAGTTGTTCTTCCAAAAGTTCCTAATGCGTCATCTGGGATGTCCGTCTGAAATGCCACTTTTTTCATGGTTTGTTCAGCCTCCACACAATGTCTAGGATTTGAAAATTAACGATTTCATACGTTGGCGAGATAATTCGTCAATGTTTCCATGCTGCTGATCAGACTGATATTGTATAACAAAGTTATCTTGTAGCAATCATGCCATCAAGGTTTCTGAAGTTCATAATTCATTTCTATGTAGTATGGTCCACTCGAATAGTGGACTCCCTACTATACAACACTGGGATTTGGAAGAACTCAGTGTATGTTGGCATACACAATCACATGACACATCATATATATACCCGTGATAAAACTGCAGCAATTCCACTATCACTGACATTTGTATTCAGGATGAATGGACAATGTAAATGAGAATAAGTCAATACTGGTGCTTTGGTCATGGCATACTTAAAGAGCTGAAATGGATTTTCATATTCCCATACAAAGTACAGATAGTCTTAGTTATCACAGACTGTGATTTGATTACCTTGGAATTATTGGCCACAAATCAATAATATGATGTCAAACCCAGTAAGCTGCAAACTTTTTGTTTGTTAGAATGTAGGGACCAGTTACTGACTGCTGTGATTTTTATAGGTTCAGTAAAAACTACCAAGTATACACCTGGAAAAAAGTTAAGCACCCCCGTGTTTTTTTCAAGTGATTCAGATTCGACGTTCTTGTGACTGATTATAAATTACCATTCAATCTAAACGTGTTTATCAAATGAAATTATGCATTATTGG